CACATGCGGCTCTTTGACCCCTTCAGTGTGGCCACGAAGTTTCAATCGCACTGTATGTGCACGCCCGCACATGGTATTTTGTGGAAGAGCCACACTCAAGGGGCCGCAGTTTGCCGACCACTGACCTAGACTATCCTAGTCCCATTTCTGTGCCTACACCGATGTCTCTATCTATACATATGGGTCCCAGTAACTTCGTACTGACTGTTCCCTCTGCTTGGAATATCTTTCCCCCAAAGACCTGCACGCAGAGCTGAGGCACCATAGTGGTCCCTGACTCAGGCTCTGTGCTCTCTACCCGGCTCCCTGTGACGCCCTCTCAGGTCCTATGTCAGTGGTACATGCTATGCACGTGGGGCGGGAAGGAAGCCGACCCAGCAGGCATGGCTCAGTGGTTGAGCGTCAACCTATGAACCAGGAAGGCGAGGTTTGATTTCCAGTTGGGGCACATGCCCAGGTTGCAGGCTCAATCCTCAGTGGGGGGCGTACAGGAGGCAGCTGATCAGTGTTTCTCTCTCATCACTGATGTTTCTATTTCTCTCCCCGTCTCCCTTCTTCCCTAAAATAAATTTTTAAAAAAGTTTAAAGTAAAAACAAAAACAAAACAAATTTGTTGAATTATAAAAAATAAAAATCTTAGCGAGCAAAGAATAAAAAGTTCATTTCCTTAACCTGATAAGATACCTACCAGAAATCTCAGAGAACATCTTAGTGAATGGTTCCTTTAAGAGTCCGGAGTGAGATAGGAATGCCTATTATCACTGCTTCTATCAACACTGCAGGTCTAGAACAAAAGAAAGATACCGTGCTCTCCTCCCAGAGGCATAGAGAAGCAGGCATGCTCGCTCAGTGCTTGTGTAAGTCCCATCTGTAAGGATGGCAGTGTGTGTAAGTCTTAAAAGACGCACACTCTCTGACCCTGCAATCCTACGTCTATGAGCAAGCCCAAGAAAATACTGGGGGATGTAGCGTTAGGATGCCGTAGGTTGTCTCCACAGTCAGAGGACCTGTGTGACAACAGGTGCTGGTTCTGTGGGTTCTGGCACGGACACAGGATGGAATACTAGTCACTGAAAATGATGCTGCATAAGAGCCATTCCTGGAAGGACCGCCTAAACTAGTGTGCTCACTATACCTTTAATAGATGCCGGTGTGTACACACACACATATACTGGAAAGACCCACACTAGAACAGGGATGATTCCTTGTGCTGTTTCCCCAGTTCTCTTAGAGCAGGTGTCACTTTCCAACTAGGAAGCACATATATTTACAACGCTGCCTCCCGGGGGGTGGGGGTGGGGAACGGGAGGGAAGGGCAGCCGCTGTGTGCTCCATCACAGCTTCTATCCATCCAGAACCCACAGACCAGAAAGCTAAGTTGCATTCTTGTTCTACTTTATTAAAACAAAGGAAAATCTAAAGGTTAATTTTATACACGCACACACACTCTCCAGTGATCTCTTTGATACTCATATTGAGGAACCCTCTGTGAGGTCGGAGGGAAGCCCAGGAGCCCATGCATGCACAAGGCAGATGGTGGCGCAGATACTGGACCCTCCCTGGAATTCCTAACAGGTCAGTGTGCCAGACAGATGGCGACAGAGACTCCTTCCTGGAACCCGTGATGGGCCTGCCCGCGGCAGGAACTCCCACAGCTCATGCCCCCCCCCCCCCCCCCCCCCCCCCCCCCCCCCCCCCCCCCCCCCGCCCTCACTGAACAGCTGTATAAAAAAATGCCTCTACTCCCTCTCAGCAGTGAGACTTCACTGGCCCCGCCCGGGAGTGCAGATTAAAGTACCACCTTTGATTTGCCTGACTCTTTAACTCTCTTTGTCTCCTGCACCGCGAACCCTTACACCCTCCATTCTGCAAGGGTCTCAGCAGGCCACGGCCACCATGCAGCCCACAGATTAGACTGGGGGGATGGAGCTTATTGGGCTGTTTCCCTGGTTCACGTGACCAACGTGGGGGACCTCACAGCAGTGTTCTGTGCACTCGCAGACAGAAAACAGCACCCCAGCTACAACAAGGAACATCTTTATGCACGTATCTTTGTAATCGACAGTCTTTAGAACAACAGCGAGAGAGACCAAAAAGGAATAGAATATTCCAAACCGTTATCGCCCATAGGTCGACATTACAAACCAGGTTTGTTTGGATCGTCTGGGAGGACAGGTGTGGAGGGCCAGGAGGAGCGGCTCCCGGTGCACGTGCCGACGGGTGCAGGCATCTCTGAGGACAAAGGAGCCACTGCCTGGTGAGTGCTTTTGGTGCTTGCAGAGTGTCCAATACCTCGGGAAGAGAACAAGTCCATGGAGGTCTTTGCCCATGCTGTGCGGTTGAGGCTACAGCAGATTCTTTATATCTAAAGTAGGCAAGGCTTAGAAGTTCACCAGTTCATAAAAGTGAGTACACGGTAAAATGCATGCACAGTATCGGAACAGAGAAAGCTTCCACGGAAATCTGTTGGTTTTAAATCCCGACAAGGTCATTTTTTTTACCTCAAAAGACTATTATGCTTTCATTCAACAAATACTCATCCCACACAATGTGCTCTCTCATCCATCCCTTTCTCAGACCAGCCCTGGGAAACAGGCATGTGCTGGGAACAGAGACAGCTGGGCCACAGCAAGGCGAGATGCTCAGGGCCGCAGTCAGGGGCCTCCACACCATCACTGCCTTCCTGGGCCCCCACCGCAGGTTGCTGGGAGCTGACTCACAGAGGGAAGAACAATTCTGTGCTGTCAGACATCCCTCAAGGGAACAAGGTGGCTCTGACTCATTGGGGGCGGGGGAGGAGAAAAGAATCCAAGGTGGAATCATTCTTTTCTGTAAAGTTTAGCAGGTGGAAGAAAATCGTGTCATTTGCTTCACTTTGGGAAACACACTGCGTCTCCGTTCCCGGATGGGTTGCAATGTCAGCCCCACTCTCCACCTACCCCTCCCCAAGACACAGGCTGTGGGCTTGGCTGCTTTTTAAGAAGCTACCTGCTAACTTCAGGCGGCACAGGATTCAAGCAAAACTGCAGTATCTTATCAGTCATGTTTTCCATCTTCCGTTCATCTGGGGGTCAAAATACTGCAAAGGGGATAAAATGGCTTTTTCTCGCTATATATGTCATTCTTGTGTTTCCTGTTCAAAGAAGCCCACACAACCACATTTTCCATTTTATTATAAAAATGTATACCTCTCCTAGTAAAAGCCTTGTCTAAAACTATAGCTTTGGTTTCAGAATTAGCGACCCAACTAGCCCAGATTACTAGTGGCTGCACCAGCACTACGCCTGCAAGCACGGCCATGGTCTTCCAGCAATGAGGATGAGAGGCTGAGCCTATTCTTCTCGTGATGCTGAGAGAAGGGGACTGAGGAGTGAGCCTTCGGTTTAGCCAAATGACAGCTGCATGTAGCATGTTTTAAAATGTACTATCTGCCCTGACTGGTTTGGCTCAGTGGATAGAGTGTCGGCCTGTGGACTGAGGGGTCCCAGGTTCGATTCCGGTCAAAGGCAGGTACCATGGTTGAGGGCACATTCCCAGTAGGGGGTGTGCAGGAGGCAGCTGATCGATGTTTCTCTCTCATCGATGTTTCTAACTTTCTATCCCTCTCCCTTCCTCTCTGTAAAAAATCAATAAAGTATTTTTTTAAAAAAAAACTAAAATGTACTATCTGTTCGGGTGAAAAGGGTTGAGCTGGTTTTGTGAAACCACGCAGGACTGTAAAGACCTGGAGGAAGGCCCTTGGAGTCAGGAAGGGAGTGCAGTATATGGCTTCCCAGTCGTGGTTTGTAGAACCTTTGTGGCCAGTGCATCTGCGTACAAAGAGCATGAAACCCACCTACTGCACTGGAGGAAATGTGGCTAAGTCACGCTGAAGAGGGGCAGTATTTACCTGGAGTATCCGAGGGGCTACTCCACCTCTCTGTGGCTGAGTTCCCATCTGCATAGTGGCATTAGCAGGTCTGCCTCTGACCTGCCGTGACTGGGGAGGAGTGGGTGAGAGAGAGCTGGAAAGCACTGGGCCTTCTCCAGAGAAAGGCAGTGTCCAAGTAACAAAATATTCAAAGTTCCAACCAAAAGAAGCACAAAATTCAAGTAGCAGAGTTGCAGGTGCTACGTTCTGGCTTTTGAGCAGAGCCTCACTGCATCTGCCGTGGAGAGCTGGTAGGTAAGTGAGCTGCAGAGCGGAGGACGCGGGGCAAGCTGCCCATACAGCCCATCATGTCATCCCACCACCGAGGACCACAACGCTCCTTAAGAGGAGCAAATGAGCCTTGGGGAAAGCTTAGAGGAATTAGCAAGCTGTTCTGAGCAGTTGCTGAGTGCCTATCCATTTGTGTTCTCTGCATAAGATCTTCAAGTTAGTGATCGACCTAAATTTCAACAGATAAAAGTTTCCTTCATTTTGCAGCTAGAAATAGAAAGGGAGGGAAAGGCTATCTGGAGCTTTCTCCTGCAATTTAACATAAGAATCAAAAACAATTTGAGACTGGCTGAAAGAAACGACTGAAGGAAAACTCACACATACAAACATGCCCCCCAATAGGGCATGAAGAGGGAAATAGGGAAGTTTTTTGCAGCCAAGAAACTTCCTTTCTTTTTACAATTCCTGTTCTAGCAAGCTAGTGGAGCATGCGTGCGTATTAATAACACCCAAAGGACCCTGAAGGCCCGCAGAACAGGAAGAAGGAAGAGGGACTAAGAGTCTAGGTACATAGTCTTTCCGAAACAGCTGACAATTAAAAATCGGGAAGACTTCACATTTTAAAACCACAATATTTATTTCGCCAACAAGAATCCATGGTACCGGTTATCAGTGGGTGGACAAACACCCCTAACCTAGCTCCCACCGTGAAACCTCCAATCCTTGTGTTTACAGATGCGGCCCACCTCTGGACCCATCTATCCGCTTTCCCGGGGCAGCTGCAATTCCTCTGGAGCCATGTGGCTGGCACCCCTGCTCCACCACGAAAAGGTGACTCTCAGGGCGAAGTTTCTGGGAGTCACCGCTTCTTCGTGCTACTGTTTCCACCGGCGGCTTTGCTGAAGCCCCGGCTCATGTGAGGAAAGTGCACGGTCGGGGTCCGCTCCGTGGGGCCGTACAGCCCCAGGTTCCTGGCGGCCGCTGACTTGCGCAGCGGCTTGACGCTGGGAAAGGGGCTGAAGATGGGAGTCTTGGGGCGGCTCCCGTGGGGAGGTCTGCCGGTGGCTCTGTCCTCCCCAGGCGCCTCGGGCAG